GGCGTCACTATGTATCAAATGATAATGAAATGTGAGCTGAAAACAGGCGACTTCTAGCCTGAAAACATGCAACACAAAGCACAAAGAGGTCACCTGTCTAGATATGTCATGTGACCTCCAATTTTGGATAAAAGAATAACAGACAAAAAAAATGCACACTTGATTCTGCTCCCTGATGTGACAGTTTTTCTACATGACAATGAAGGGAATACGTCTGGTTTTCAGACAAAATCAAACATTTAAAAGATGTCATCTTGTTCAAACGTCTCCCCAAAAAATATATATTAAATTGCAATGAATAGAATTAAAAACTGTTACCTTTTATCTGTTAAGAATTGAAAAGATGAAATCACTGATTTCTTTGCATAGTCTCCTAAGCCAAAGTTCTGAAAGTAGAGTACGTGTTTTCATACAGGAACTTTAAGGCAGATTCTGGCAACATTTGGGTTTAAATGTGCGAGATTGAAGTTGTCACTAATATTGGGTACAAAAAGCATGTTTCCAGCTTATCCCACAACTACAGCTGATGTGCATTGAGACTGTGTTTGTAGTGAGCTGCTGTTGGGTTTTATACATAGAGAAACTAGTTGTTTTGTTGTTTTTGAACCATTTGTACTTTTGTAGACTTGTATACAAGTGGCTCAGATTTTTAATAAATTTGTATAAAAAGCATACTTGCGAGCTTTGTCTTGATAAAACCGGTACCTCGGGCTGCTTCTAAAAAAAGCAAAGGTGGGGCTGTCTCTAACCAGGTAATGCATGTCCAAATGGTAAAGAGTCTGTCTTTTGTATAGTGCTTTCCTACTCTATGTGAGCACTGAAAGCACTTCATACAACTTGCCTTATTCTCCCACTCATACATGCATTTGTCCTCCTTTTTTCCAAGTAAGTGTTTTCTAGTGTCACGCAAATTTGTACTCTGATGGATGCATCGGAGAGCAACTTGATACCTTACACAAAGATATTCAGAATGCAGACTGTGTGCGGTCAACCTTCCACCAACCCTCTGATTAGTAGATGACCTGCACTACCTTCTGAGCCTAAAGGATGTCAGCCACTAGACCCACAACATGGGCTAAAAATTGGACAATAGAAAAAAAAAACGTTATCTGGTCTAATGTTTCAAGTTCTACTGTGACATGGGCAAACCATGCGGCCAATCGCACGGATGGACTGGGATCATACCATTTTGTGAAAGAAGAAAACTGTGCAGATGTTCAGAATACGGCAAGTGTAGATGAACAGGCCAGGTAGAGAAATGAGGGAGTGGATGTAAATGCAAGGTTGTCAGGAAGAATTGAAGAAAAGAGTGAAAATGTAAAATCAGCAGCATCTGGCTGCATTTCAGTCGTACTGAAGACTGCAGAGCTGAGTGCAGAACTGATTAAATTAGGAGCTGGTTAAAGGGATACCTGTTTTTGTTTTCAGCTATTTTCCATTGTGGGGTTGACAAAAGGCTTCTAACTTGGTCTGGTGTATGTTCTTTCAGTAGTAAATGTCTTTTATGAAAACACTGAATAAAAAATGGCGCCCTTGTGGAACCCCACAGGGTAGGGAGGCAATGTTAGAGAACCTGTCTGTTCTAACAGAGATGATCCGATTAGACAAGTAGGAAGAAAACCAGTCTAAGGCATTTTCAGATACACCAGCCAAAACCTTCAGCCTGTTAAGTAGGATTTTGTGGTCAATAGTTTCCTCCATTAAAAAAATCATTATAGGCTATTATAGGAGTGGTTTCAGTGGAGTGCTGCCTCTGAAATCCAGAGTGAAAAGGGTCAGAAATCTCTAATCTGTAAAGATCTGAACTGATTTTCTAAAATTTTTTCTAATAATTTGCTTATAAATGACGATTTTGAAATAGGCCGATAATTATCAGTAGAGCTGGCATCAAAATTCAGTTTCTTCAATGTGGAGTTACCTCAGCATGTTAAAAATAGGATGGAACATGACCTTGCCTCTGTGAACTC